GACAGCCTGAGAACGGAGGCAGGGCTTTGTCTTTACTCGCACGAACTCTCGGAGGAAGTTAACCCGGTTGCTGCACGACTCATGTGGTGCATCCCAAAGCGCCGCATGGCGGAGGGAGGCTTCATTGGCCACGAGCGCCTTCAGACATTTGTGCAGCGCGCGAAGGAGCTTGTGCCGCGCTTGCGTATGGGAATCCTTTCTGTCGCGAGGGGACCAGTGGCGCGTACAGGGATGCCGATCCTCGTCGGTGATGTCGTGGTCGGGGAGGTGACGAGCGGCGTGCCGTCGCCAACGCTCTCGCGCAACATTGCGATGGGGTACATCGATCGCGCGAAGGCCCGGGCGGGGGAAACGGTGGAGTTGGAAGTGCGGGGGAAGCGGCTGCCGGGCGAGGTCACGTTGCCGCGCTTCGTTCCGCAGCGGTACTACAAGGGATGATGATGATGTTGGAGGGGTTGGCGGCCCCGTACAAGCCGGTGATTGGTGGCCGGGTGGTGGTGGTGGGCCGCACAGGGAGGAAAAGAAGAAAAAAATAAAGTAAGGGAAATAAGGCACAAGAGAAAAGCAAATCGACACAGCGACGAAAAAGGGAGAATCGTGGGAGGTGTTGCATATCTCACGTGGTTCGCCTGAGGAGTTCCGGATGCGAGTCGCGATGAAATACCGCGGGGGGTAGGACGCATCGTGTCGATTGCTGGCTGCTCGCTATCTTGTGGGTAAACACATACTTTTTCTTTTTTTGCGCTTCTTTCTCTCTATTTTATTCCCTTTTTTTTTTTCTCTTCTTTTTTTTGATTGTTATCCTTCTGGTTTTCTGGTGGATCTTTTCCGTGCCGTCATTACGTCTGTGCTCTTCTTCCCGGTAACCGTCTTTTTTTTTTTACTTCTCCTGCCCATCACTTTTTATTTTTATTTTTATTTATTTATTTTTTTGGTGTCGTTTCGCGGATTGGCAATTTTTTGATTTGCGTGTCGTCACCTAACAATGTTTTTTTTCTTTTCTTTGTTATTTGGCATGCGTGTGTGTGTGTGTGCGTAGGGCACTGTGACGCGCTGCATCTTGGTGCCAACACCCACACACACGCTCCCTTCTACGGCCCAACGCACATGTGCAGCGGGGGAGGGCGAACATACATGTCTTTTCTCCTTCACTTCATGTCTTTTTCTTCTTTTTTCCTCCCCTCCACGTGTGCGGCAGTGGTAGAAGTGCGTGTGTGTGTGTGTGTCTGTGTGTAGGGCTGCGGATGGCGGCGGATAATGTGACGGAGGCTGAGCTGGAGGTGCGACTTGAGCACGAGCTGCTGCTCTGTGAGCAGGACTTCTTGCTGCGTGAGACGGAGGCAACGACGTGCATCAGCAACCGGGCGACTACGGCGCGCAAGAATGCGGCGGAGACGGACATCGGACTTCTGCGCGCGTACTTGGAGGGCATGCGCCGGAAAAACAGGGCTGTGTGCTTTGCGGCGGAAGAGGGCATGCGGGCAAAGGTGCTCGCCGCAAAACGTCGGTCAGAGGAGCTTCGCCGCATTCTCTCGGAGCTGCAGAAGGAGACGACGGAGATCAGAGAACGGTGCGCATCTATTTCCATGTGAATATGTAGTTTTGCTCTTCAGCCCTTTTCTCTCGGACCAGCGGGGGCGGAATCCCTTTCTTTTTTTTATATTTATTTATGGCTTGCCTTCGCCAATTAATAACCCCCCCGGTGCGTTGCTGTCCCCCGCCGGACCGTGACGGCAGCGCACCCAACCGCTTGGAAGCAAAGTGGGAGGTTTTGGGGCTCTTTTTTATTTTTTTTGCTTTTTTTTTTCTTCTTCTTTTCCTGCTTCTTTGGTCTTTTGCGAAGTGTCTTTTTTTTCTCTTTATCGCGGTTGCCGGAGAAAAAAAAAAAAAAAAAACGAAGAAGAAAAGAGAAAAGCCAGACAAAAGAGGGCTGCCAAACGTGCCAGCGCAACTCGGCATCATTAGGGCGGTGTCCCGCACACACACACACACACATTGATTTCATGAATGGGTAACGCGCTGGCAGGAGTTTGTAGGCAAATCCGATGTCTTGATGCTAATTCACCACGACACGAGCGAAGGCGTTCGCCTCGTGCCGCTTCTTTTTCTTCTCACCCATCGCGTTTGCGTAAAACGCCGTTGTCGCCGCTTAAACCGGGTGGAAAAATAGCCTGTGAGATTTGTGGAATTTGCTTTGACCCGGTGGGCTTGGAAAAACATCGTTCGATGTGCCGAGCCTCCCGTGGAGTAGAGACGGAGCAGGCACGTTCATGTTTAGGCTGCACGGGGGAAGGGCTCCCTAACGATGAACCTGAAGAGTTGTGTGTGGTGTGCTTTGCGGAGAAGCGGATGTATGCTTTCCTTCCGTGTGGACACGTGGCCTGCTGCAGCTCATGCGGGAAGTTGGTGGATAGATGCCCGGTGTGCCGGGAGGAACGGTTCGGGTACTGCGTTGTCAACACCACTGCCCTTCTGCAGTTCAAGTGCCCACATTGCAGGGCCATTGTGGCGCCTGAGCTGTACGACGGACATCGCGAGGTGTGTGCCATCCAATCCAGGGCGGCGCAGGTGGGTCACAGTGGACCTGCGACCGACGCAGACACTCGCAGTAAAAACGCGGCTACGTCGGGGAGGAGGGCGGAGGGCGGCGGTAATCATCCACCGGCGGCGGTCCCCGCCAAACGCAGTGCGAGTAGTCACGGGATCACACCGAACTTCTGCATCGAGTGCCGGAGGGAGAACGCGCCGCTGGTCATCATTGGGCCGTGCGGCCACCGGGTTCTTTGCGATGATTGTTTTGCGGGTCGAATCACATGTCCGGTTTGCCTGCGGGAGATCGAACACGGTTGGAAATCCTACATTTAGGCTCGCTGTGCACACGAAACGAGGGAACGAAAGGGGGAAAATCAAAAGGAAAGAAAGTAAGAAGGTGGGTGGGTGGGAGGAGTCTTAAGAGCAAAGTTGGCGAAAAGTATGTCCCTCAATGAAAAAGAAGGAAGGAAGAAACAAGGCAAAGCAAAAAAATATGGGGTCAGGGGGAAGGGTAAGGGTAAGGGGAAGGGGAAGGGTCGATTAAAAAGTAGTTGAGAGGAACATGGATGTGAGTTGAGAAGGAGAGAGAGAGAAGGTCCGTGCGAGTCACTGGCTGTTAGTTAGAGTGCCATTCATCCTTCTTTTTTTTTTTTTTTTTGATAAAAATAGGAGTGAGTGAGTCAGTGAGAGGTTAGAGTTGCCATGACGACACTGGACCCAGAATGTTTTCTGGCGCATGTATCAAAGTTTGAAGCGTGCAACATCGATTCGTCACTTTATCCACCGCCTTACGTCCTCCACGGCAGGCTCCCTCACTCCAACTTTGTGTGCAGTGCGAGCCTCGGAAACTCAACCCCGTCGTGGTCTTTCTGCCATACCTTTGAATGCACTGGAGGAGGGAACACTGCGGAGCCCCCGATAGTGCTGGAGTGCTACGGCAATAACGGGGAGGAGTTTGTGGGCATGTGCGCCGTGGAGTTATCTCAGTTGCTGGAGGCTTCATCATCAAAGGACTCGATCGTGGCGCTGCAGCTGAGGGACGGCTATTTTGTCAGAGGTGAGATATCGTTTCATGCGACGTTAGAGAAATTACACTCGTTCGACATTCACATCCCACGCATGGCCATTGCGCCACATTCACCACCGGGAGCCTCCGTGTACGTGGAGCTTTCGTGCGGTTACGAAGGCAGTGGCGGCGCGGTGTCCGTGACGTCGGAGCGGGTGGCGACGGAAGTCTTCGAGTGGGCGCCGCTGCCGCCATTGCTGCAATGCAGAGTTACTCCCGGAACACTGACGCAAGACGGTGTTTTCGGCAAACTCTTCAGCGATTCCGGGGAGCGGCTCGGTCACTTTCGCATCGTTGTGCCCGCTTCTGTCGTCAGGGGAATAACAGCACCGGCATCACTGTCAGAGGACGGCGTGAGCAGCGAGCAGTTTGAGTTTGACGTTCCCGTGGAGTCAACGCCCTCGGGCATCGTGCTGCGGTGCGCAGGCAACATGACGCTTTTGAGGGGTGCTTGCCCGGCGGTATGTCAGGCATCCGCCGAGGCCTCTTTAGACGCCGAGAGGAGCACAGAAACGCATGAATTTTTTCGCGGTGCCCTCTCTGAAGACCTGCAGGTCCTGAGCGAGGTTCTGGAGCAGCAGCAGCGGATGCTCGGGACGGTTCGAGAGCAGTTGGAATGGGTGCGGGATTACAAGGCCACCATCAAACAACGACTGGAGGTGTTGCGGCGCCACTCGACGGCGACGGACTCCACAGGCGTTGGGATCAGGAGCCGGATTGAGAGGGAACTGCAAGGCTGCATCATGCAGCGGGAACAACTACGGGATGAGCTTGCCGCGCTTCGGAAACGCAGAGCGGCGGCCACAGAAGAACATTTGCTGCGGGTGGAGGAGCAGAGGAGGTTGCAGGAAACGCTGGAGGAGGAACAGGCAAAGGCAGAGTTTCTCCGCGAAGGTGTCAAGAAGTTGCAGCTGGAAATGCAAGTGCATGCAAAGATGGAGAAGAAGCGGGAGCAGCTGCGTCTGCGGCAGTCGGAAGAACACCAGCAACTCAACAGCGAAGATGCAGAGACACTGGTAGAGGTGATGCGTTTACTGGAACGACACAAGTGAATTGCTTCACCTTGCCAATAACGAGCCAGACGTGATATTTCCGACATTTTTTTTTAGCCATTGTGGGTCTTTACATTTAAAGACTTATTTGCATACTTATGAATTACTCTTTTCTTCTTGCTTGCACGATGCGTATACATGTGCGTTTATATATACATATACATATTTATATGTATATTTGTGTGCCATATGCGAGGGGCGGGGCTTCTTTTTTTTTTTTTTTTTTGTTGTTGTTGTCCAGGTCCATGCCTCCTCCTTTTTTTTTTTTTGACACGCATGCACGCATAGTCTTCCCCTTTAAAAAAGTAAAAAAAAAAAAAGAAGGAGGGTAAATATAAGCCGGCAGGGCGATGATAGATCACAGCCTCTTTGAAAGGTATGATTCGCTCAATCGGAACTACACGGGAAAAAGGCCGCAGCTGGGTCCGGGTGTGAAGTGCGTACAGTGCGACGGCTGTGATCGTGTAATCACGTTCGCCGTGTTCCACAGCGAGTACGAAGGCGGCGTGGATGTGTGCAACATTTGCCGTGTGGCTGCCGAGCAAAGTGCAGGCGGGTACGTGCAGTGCACGGATCGAAGACGGCGTCTTTGCTTTGCGAATCACCCGTTGTGTTTTGTTGGCCCCGCTCCGCTGCCCAAAGGCTACGAGTTGGACAAGGACGAGATTGACGTGGAGCACGACCCCGGGCTGCTGGCGAGGCGCTTCAAGAGGTCTGTTGACGTTGTCGCCCGCCGCGGCCTTGGTCGTCCAAGGAAGCGGCCGCGTGGACGACGCCGCGAAGGTGACGGGAGTAAAAAAAACGAAAAGAGGGATGGTAACGAGGACTGGTCGACGGCGAAGAGGTCGAGGCGAGGCGTTGGCGGAGGCGTGGCAGCTGTGACGATGGCCGCCGGTGCTGCTGCTGTCGCTTCCGCTTCCGCTTCCGATGCGGCGGCAACGACGACGCCGGAAACAGCAGCACCACAAGCGACAGCAGCACAAGCCTCGCCATTGCCGCCGCGGGAGGAGCCGAAATTGAAAGCACCGCCACCTGCAGGTGTTGCCGAGGTGAAAGGGGAGAATGGTGCAACGCATAGCGAGCAACCGCAGAATCCAGCAGGGAGTAATAAAGACTCCGCACGGCGGATGAAGTGGGAACGCGTGGTAAACAGTCCAGTGGCGAAGTTTTTTCTCCAAATTGAGCCCCGCACCAAAAGGACCGCCGAACGCCCAGCATCCATGGTCTACCAGCCGCTATGCGTATTCGACCACGATAGCATTCAAGAGTTTTCCGTTGCCCCGAACAGGAGTTGCCGAACCACCCGTGGGTTTGTAGGCTTCACGTCCTGCAGCAGTGTCCTCTGTGTGCGCATAGTTCCAACGATGCCTGAAGTGGGTCTGTGGTTTTCAGTGATGTGTGAGGAGGATTGCTGCACGCGGCTTGACATATGGCATTGCCCTCCTAAAGCAAGCGCCACTGCCTCTTCTTTCCTCAGTCTCAGCGATGTTGCGCCTCCAGTACGCAGGTACGTTGTGCATGTGGGACTAAACGTGGCAGTGTCGATGGATTGGCTCCCTGTTCCCTTACATCGAACGGACAACAACAAGTTGGGTCTCTGCACGTTTATCCGTGGGAAGTACTTGGTCTCGACAGTTCTTCCCCGCGATGTAGTTGCTGAGACCTCAGCGGCTGTAACGCGTGGCTGCGGCAACGGTGGTGCTGATGGCGCTGGCCGCAGGAGTGGTCGTTGCGTCCACGTGGCTGCGGAGGTGTGTGGTGCGACTCTGCTGAAGCGTGAAATCGAACTTGTGGAGATTCGGTGGAGCTCCAACGCCACTTCTCTCGCCGGGACGTTTCTCTTTGCGATTGGCCGCTGCACCTCGGTGGTGGTGCTTCAGCCCACCGGCGACACACACTCGGGTAAGTTGATGTTGCAAGTGGTGCATTACATTGAAGCAAAGGGCGTCGTGGCGTCTCCACCGTTTTTGCCGTTCCCTCCCATTGCTGTTGGTGCGGCGCGTAGTGGCCACACGATGTTGGTGGTTTCACATGGAACAAGTGTGGCATTCTACCAGGCGCCCGAGTTCAGCACGAAACTTTTTGTGGCCGTGGATGAGGTGGTGACTTGTGTACGATCCTACGAGCGACGTTTGACGATGGGCCTGGCGAGTGGTGCTGTTGTGGACGTTCGTAGCGGGATGCCGATTGCGACGCTGCAGTCGCCACCATTACTTATTGACCGCATAGAAGGCACGTCTAATGATGAAGAGACGTGGCTTGTGGCGGACACCTCGGGAGAGTGTACACGGATTTATCGGCACCGTCAGGGAGATGCGGAGCCCAGGACGGAGTGTGTTCTCTCGCTCGCTCGGGTGCAGCGTGCAGCAGATCAGCCGGCGGCGTTAATTATGGGCTGCAGCCGCATGAGTGAGTCCCTGCGTATTACTGGGGACAGCGCGCCGCAATTTGTGCAGCATCCACTGCAGCATCTTATGATCGCGCGTGGTCCGCTACTTGCCTTTTTTACCGACGGTGTCTGGTTATTGTCTCCGCAGTGACTGGAGTGCTGGCAGACATGGATGCACTCGCAAACATAACTATGGAAGCAACAGAGGCGGTGTGTGTGTGTGTGTGTGTGTGAGAAAGAGAGAGGGAGAGAAAAAAAAAAAAAAAATAAGTTTGATAATAACAGAGATTTTTTTCCTGTCAAAGAGTGGCCTATTTTTTTTTGTGTGGAGCCAACCGCCCCTTTGTTGCAATGGTACTAAAGACCAGCATAAACATACTCTTTTTTTATAGGTTGCATGTCACACTCTTGTCGCCTTGCGGATGTCTTTTCTTTTTTTTCCTTCTTTCTTCTCTCTTCGTCCCCTTCCCCCGTTACTCAACAAATGGCTGTTGGGAGGATTCGAAGGGGAAACAACAACAACAACAACAAAAAAAAAAAACAACAGCAAAAGCAATTTCATTTATTTATAAATAAATTTTTTTGGTCGTCGGTGTTGGTGTTTTTTCTGTAGACCTAAAACATAATTCCACGCTAAGGGAGAGAAGAGGCAGAGAAGCGGAGGAGGATATTTAATAAAAAAGTTTCTTTTTTTTGTTTTTTTTTTGTTTGTGCGTGTTGCGTCAGCCACCACGAAGTGTCTTGCACGCAGTCGACTCATGCGCACGGCACTCCCGTCGAAGCTCGAGAATTTGGTGCGGGCGGAGTTTGAGGACACATGCCGCCGCCGCTTTTTTTTCGGTCTGGCCTTTGACCCGTACGGCGGGTCGGCGGGGCTGTACGACCTGGGCCCGCCGCTCTGCGCCATGAAGGCCAACCTCCTGTCGTACTGGCGGCAGCACTTTGTGCTGGAGGAGAACATGTGTGAGGTGGACACGACGTCCCTGACGCCGGAGGAGGTGTTCAAGGCATCCGGCCATGTGGTGCGGTTCAACGACGTCATGGTGCGGGACACCGTCACAGGCGAGTGCATCCGCGCCGACAAGCTGCTCGAGGAGTACAGTGAGACGCGGCTCAAGGACGCCACCCTGCCAATAGAAACGAAGCAGGAGATGCAGACGCTCCGTAACAGGGCGGCCGGGATGACGCCGGCGGAGATGAAGGCGGTGATTGAACACCACCAGGTCAATTCGCCCAAAGGCAACGCACTCAGCGAGCCGTTTCCGTTCAATCTCATGTTCTCCACGAGTATTGGACCGGAGGGAGACCGTGTTGGGTACATGCGCCCTGAACTTGCGCAGGGGATCATACTGAACTTTAAGAGACTACTCGATTCAGGCAATGCGCAGCGCATGCCGTTTGCAGGGGCGTGCATCGGCACCGCCTTCCGAAACGAAATTGCGCCACGCGCAAACCTTATCCGCGTCCGTGAGTTTACGCTGGCGGAGATTGAGCACTTTGTCAACCCCAACGACAAGAGCCATGAAAAGTTTGAGAGCGTCAGGGGCACGGAGTTCTGGGCATGGCCACGGGAACTACAGGACGCCAATGCAGACCCTGTTCTTATGACCGTTGGGGATGCCGTTGCTAAAAAGATCATTGACAATGAGACGCTCGGCTACTTCATTGCCCGCACGGTTCTTTTTCTTGAGGCCGTCGGTTTGCGTTTTCTCCGCTTCCGCAACACCAGCGTGATGAGATG